ACCCATATTGCTCTCTCTCTATATATATATAGAGATTAATGGGTATCCTTGTCATAGGAGGGGATTTCCTCCTATGACGCCTCTAAAATCACATGATTGAGCGACATTGTGGATGATCCGCTCCGTTGAACTTGATCTACATATTCTAAAACCCCAACACACCAAGTTTGGGGTGAACCCGTCGTCGTTTGACCCTTCATCCACTCGTATCAATTTTAACGGTTTTGAATGAATAGAACTTTTCACATGGCTCGATGGAGGGTCAAACGACGACGGATTCACCCCAAACTTGATGTGTTGGGGTTTTAGAATATGTAGATCAAGTTCAACGGAGCGGATCATCCACAATATCGCTCAATCATGTGATTTTAGAGGCGTCAAGGAGGAAATCCTCTCCTATGACAAGGATACCCATTAATCTCATATATATATATATAGGAAAAGTGATTCTAAGGTGACACCTTAGATTCCCACCTAAGGACGCGGCCTAAATTCACATCATTCCCTTCTTTTTTTTCTGATCTGCTCCGTTGAACTTGATCTACACGTTCTTAAACCCAAACACACCAATTTTTGGGTGAACCCGTCGTGTTTTGATCCTTCGTTGAGCCGTGCAAAAAGTTCTATTCATTCGAAACCGTTAAAATTACGGCGAGTGGATGAAGGGTCAAAACACGACGGGTTCACCCCAAAATTGGTGTGTTTGGGTTTAAGAACGTGTAGATCAAGTTCAACGGAGCGGATCACAAAAAAATAGGGAATGATGTAATTTTAGACCGCGTCCTTAGGTGGGAATCTAAGGTGTCACCTTAGAATAATGAAGAAAGACACGATTTTTCACCGCGAACAGTTCTTTGCCGGATCTATATGCTTGTAATCATATGTTCATTTGGTGTCGTAATTTTGCGAGATGTTGAGGATCTTGCCTGATTATGGATCTTTTTTGTTGTTCTGATTGAAATGATCCTTTTTTACATGGATATATTGGAATTATATAGAGATTGATGGTGGCTGCTATTTCCCAAAATTTGGGGGTCCAAATTATTGGCGTTGGTACATGAACTCTAATTTTCCATTCTTTTTTGCAAATGGCTATCTTTCTACATGCAAACTACTGACATTCTCCCTAAGGTTTAAATGATTGATGAAAAATCACCCCTAAGGTTATAAAAGTGAGACTTTACCCTTCATTCCCAATTTCTAGTCACATAATCATCAATCCTGAATATAATCATAATATGTTTATATACATTCGTCATATCTTGCTTATTAGCTTTTTCATCCAAGTTAATTTTGTATCTATTGTGTGGGATAAAGGGTCCCTTTTAAAAAGTTATAGGAATTTTCTGTCAATCATCCGAATGGTAGCAGAATTTTTAAGTTGGTTACTGTCATATACTTCTTCTTTGCTTCTAACATCTAGTTATGATCGTCGGATGCTATTGGTGTGGAAATGTTAGATTCACTCTGATTTTGGTACTTATTACCTTTTTCTTCATTTATTTGGTTCTCCAAAAGTAGTATATTTGGCACTCCTGTGAATGTGAACTATATGCTGATGGGAGGAAAATATCTATTTCATATTCATGATCGTACCCGATCCGATTCTCTAATATTCGAACCGTATCTTTTTTCCGATAAGTGCGGATATGGTTAAGATTTTTCTTACCGAAGATAATCCGTATTCGTATCCATTTATAAAAAGCGGATATGGATATGGTAAGTACTATATGTCTTTGTTTGTAATTTTGGATCATTTTTTCTAAGGCCATCCTCTATAGTAATAGATGTAATGTAATCTAATAAATGAAAATATATTAAGGAGTCGTTTGACAGTTTGAAAGTGAAATAAAAATGTCTAAATTACTTTTTTTGTAAATTACTTTTACATTCACATCACTGTGCAAGTGAAATGCAATATTTATTTGAAAAATAAAATTATTGCTGAAAGTGTAATATGAAGAAGATGTGACCAAAAAAATTAACTGGTAAAATAATTTAATTGAAATCAGTTACCATTTTTATTACTTTATTGTGACTTCACTACTTTTTTAGGAAAAGTTAAAATTGTATTAAATTATCTGTGATAATCTTCTTGCATTTTACTTTTATAATCACATAGATATTATTTTTATTTAGCTATTATGGCTTTGTTGAGAAGGCTATATAAGAGCATCTCCAATCACTCCGCAAAATCTTCATCCCTCCAAATTTGGAGAGTGAATCCTCTCCAATTACTCTCCAAATTTGGAGATGGTTGAAGCTAGAATTTGTAGTCTCTCTCCAAGTCACTATTTAAACTTTCATTATTTACAATTTTGTCACTTTTAACTATTTAATTTCTTAAAAATTACCACTTTACCATCATTCTTAGTAATTTAAATTAGATGTTTAATTTCAAATAAATATAGTTAACAAATTCCTAATCTAATTTTTGAAATAATTATATATTTGGAAAGGTCTCGTCGAAATCTTCAAAATGAAACTAAGATTAATTTATTTTAGTATTGTTATAAAATTATTATTTTTTAAATTAAATAAACAAGTATCAGACATGAAAATTTAAATACGGGGATCTATTTAACTTGCCTCATAAGAAAATACAAGCATAAATTACAATGTTTAAATTGCATTCCTTCGTTGTCATGCCTCTGCCATAAATGTTCAATTAGCGCGTTTCGAAGCATAAAAACTTGCCTCATAAGAAAATACAAGCATAAATTACAATGTTTAAATTGCATTCCTTCGTTGTCATGCCTCTGCCATAAATGTTCAATTAGCGCGTTTCGAAGCATAAAATGAGCTTCCCTATCTTGAATCTTCCTATGTCGATCAAGGAATCATTGGAATCATTCGGCATCATCAATCTCCATCTCTTCAGATCTTGAAGATTCGTCGTGAACCATAATCTCTGGTTCTGCATCACGTTCATCCTCCACAGACATGTTATGTTGTATAATACAAGCAATCATTATGTCGTGTAGTCCCCACTTGTCCCAAGAACGTGATGGTCCCTTGATAATGACAAATCGTGATTGAAGAACACCAAAAGTCTGCTCTACATCTTTTCAATATCCTTCTTGCATAGCAGCAAAGAGTTGCCTCGTAGGCTCTTATAGTTGGAATATTGTTTGTACAAGAGTAGGCCGTTTGGGGTATATCCCATCGGCCAAGTAATAACCTGTATCATAATTCTTTCCTAAAATACTATAATTACCAGGAGGGAAAATACCTTGTGCTAGTTGATCAAACAAATTTGAAGATTGTAGTAAGTTAATATCATTGTTAGATCTTGGTAATCCAAAAAAAAAAAACATGTCATATCCATAAGTCATATGAGGCTACTGCCTCGGGAATCATTGTTGGACCTCCGTGACGTCCCGAGTACTGTCCTGCCTAAGCCGTTGGACAGTTTTCCATTTCCAATGCATGCAGTCTAAACTGCCCAATATTCTCGAAAATTCGCGCTCTTCGCCTTTACTTAGCAACCGTGCAATGTCAACCGCAGTGGGATACCTCAAATATTCATTTACGAACACCTCTGTAATTGCTCGACAAAACCTCTTCAAGCATTGGATTACGGTTGACTCACCAATCCTAATATATTTGTCGTACTATCCGCCAAAGTTTCGTACGCCAACATGCGGTGCGCTGCTATTACTTTTTATAAAGTAAATAATCCTAATACACCAAGACCATCTATCTTCTGCACAAAGTAGTTGTCGTGCTCTTTTACTCTGTTGACAATGCGAATAAATAGATCTCGTTGACATCGAAACCTTCTGCGAAAAAAAGCATCCCCATATGTGGGTTTCTCAGAAAAATAATCGTGCCAAAGTCGAGAGTTACCTTTTTCTCTTTCACGATTGATCACCAAATGGCCGGGAATCGATCCTTTACGTTTTCGTTTTCTGCTCTCTTGAAGACGATGAGCCAATATTTTCTTCAAGACTTCATCTCGCTCCTCTTGCTCAGCTAGTTCATTCTCCCAGTGTTGAAAGCAAAAGAAAGAAGGAGAAGGTTTTATGGATCTCAAGACCCAGTCTCAGGCACATGTTCGAGGACGTTGTGAATCTCAATATGGAGAGTGAAAGTTTTATGAACATGAGTGATGCCCAATCTCCCACGGACAGCCCAGCAAGTCGCCCTGTTGGAAGAAAGAAGGAGAAGACAAAGAGAAAAAAGTCGATGGAGTTTAGTTTTGAGGAGGGAATTATTAAGAGTATGCAAGAGATAGATGCTAAATGTGAAATGAGCTGGGAAAAAATAGAGTGATTGATGATAACAAAACTTGAAAATGAAAAAAATAAAATTAAAGTAGAACAGCGTGACCAACAATTAGCTCTTTAGCGTGAAAGCGATGATAGACAAATTATGTTGATTGATCTAAGTAAGATCGCCGAGCAAAGTGAACGTGCTTACTATCAACAAAAAAAACAAGAAATTATTAATAGAAAGGAATATAGAGCTCTATCATTCGACTATGGATTTTCCTCGAGAGAGCCAAAAGGATTTTTTGAGCTTCTTAGAGGAGCTGTAGGAGGAGAAAACGAATATGGATGTCCCTCTGGAGATCAAGGAGGATTTTCTAAGTTTGCGGGAGAAGCTAGTTTTGTAGGAAGAAATGAATATGGAGGTTTATCAAGAGATCGGGATGGCACCGGTAATTATAACTATAATGACCTGCTGGAATTTTAATTGTCTGTTATTATATTTTATGTTTGCGACCTATGGTATGTTGTATTAGATGTTTATGTTTTCTTTCCTGCTCTATCGATGTATGCTTTATCACTGTTATTTCAGATTTTTTTAATATGTTGTATTGCATTATTAATATTGTGTTCATTTTAAAGTTCTCGTCGACACATAATTTCTAATGTTATTATTTTTTTTCTAAATAAATTATTAAAATATAATTATTAATGTAAACTATATCTAACATTATTAATTTTACTTTTCAAATTAAAATATTCATAAAATATTCTAATTTGGAGAGTGGTAGAGCTGGAGATGTTCTCACGCACTCCCTCTCTGAGAAGAGGAGAGGAGTTTCTATCCATCTTCCCCTCTCCTCCGCCTACTCTCTCGAAACCCTAATTCCTCTCTCTCTCTCAAGGTTCTACAGTTTCCAAATATAGTATCTTTTAGGGTTTGCGGAGCTGGATTGCCTTTCGTTCCTCGGCCGAATCTCTATGCGCCGCTGGTCCAGCGGCTTCGTCGATTAGGGCCTCGAGGGGAGCACAATCCAAGAGCTTGTCTAGGGTTGGGGCTTGGATTGGGGTATTGGACTGGTTCTGATGGTGGTGAGGCCGGGGTTTGGTTAGGGTTTTAATTGAATGCCGTTAGGGGATCTGATGGCTGCCCCTCTATTCTCTCATTCTTCATCGACGACTACAATCGTGATGAGTCATGTAGATGACTATAATATGAGAGAGGATAGAGATTCCGGGCCGAGAAGGGATTCGGAGGCGGCGCGCTGCTGCGCTGGCTGTTGATTCGGAGCCTGCGGTGTGACAGCGACGAGTAGTGTTGTTTACTTGCCGCAGACTGTGGTCTCTGGCGACTTTCGGCATGATGGGTTCGAGGAGAGCGTGCCGCTGGGCCTGCTGAGAGTGGACCGGTGTCGAAATGGCGGCCGAAAGACCGGGTAATTTCAAGTTTTGCACTTATATCATGGCTAACATTTGTTACTTTATTATGCTGATTATGAGCTATTTTCACTATTTGCACTGGTGATCTCTAATGGAGAATAGAGATGGTACAAGGAAGGAAGGAAGAAATGGTATTTAGTCGGTCTGTAAGAGTTTCTGCACACCGAGGGCATCCTAACGTTCAATTAGGCCAAGCTTTTGTTTGAGAGTAGTTTATTGAGTTCATTATGGATCATAGGACTGAGAAGGTTAGTAGAGTTGTAATCAAATTCGGTTATTTAACTTGTGAATGGCTTCTGCAAAAGCAAAAATATGTTAGCCAAAATCTGCATTATTATTGGTTGGAGAATCCGAACAGTAAGTTATATTCTTCATTATTATAAAATTGAAGCAACGATGCAGGGAAAAACCAAAAACATTAAAGCGTGTTCATCATTACTGATGAACTTGAACTAATACCATGGTTGTGCCTGTTGTTTCTAGTAACGAAGGATAAAAAGCTATTCGGTCTGGCTTCGCTTCAGGTTGCCTAATTATGGGTGATTAAAGTTATGATTATTACTGCCTTATCACTTTTAAAAGGCATGCTCACTGGAGCTAGACGTGAAAAGAGAAAAAAAAAAGAAAAAAGAAAAAAAAGAAACCCCTTAAAAGAGCTTCCTTTGGGGAGTTTGTAAAATGTACTGGTTATCCTATTATTGCTCTACAGGAACGAAATGATGTATGCCTTTCCAGCTGGTTTTTTCCCTTCCAAAATTAGTTCCCTGAGTTGATTAGAAGAACTATTCAGCACGGTAATTGCCTATAATTCTGAGTTGAACGATATATATTTTTGTACAAACTGAACTAACATTAAACAGTGAGATGTATCATAGTGCATTTGTTGTGTCCCACTTGATACTGTTGACATATTGTATCTATATCTGTACCCTGCTATCTTCACTTGCTAAGGTCCATATACATATAATGTTTAGAAAGGAAAAGTACTATGACAAACATGTAAAGGCATGAAAGGTAGGATTTGTGTGTGATAATTCTTGATGGGAGAATTAATATGACAGATATGTATGGATATTATATATATATTTGATATTATCCGAAGTGAATTGGTGCATGTCAAATCCTGGCAATATGAGTCTAGGTACATGTACTGAATTTGAAAGCCATGATTGCTAAGGATAGTTTTATTCTTCTGCAAGAGCTCTTTCCATCTCTAAACTTACCGTTATTTGCATGCACTACTAATGAAATAACAAGTTATGGTGTTAGTATTAGTGAAATAAATGAGTTAATGACTAAGTTCCTGGTGCAGACACCTTTTCATATTTTAGTCCGTAATCATAACCTTTTCAAGCGCACGCACATGTGTGTGTATATGCGTGAGTTAATGCTGGATATTAAAATTGATATAGTTCAACTGGTTAACACTGAAGTAAATAATAGCTTAATGCTAGATTTCTAATATTGATGCCCATAGTTGTATTTGTGTAAACATATAAGCTTTTGGTGCAGACACCTATTAACCTCAAAGTCTAAGAGAAACTATAACGATCCAACAAGATACATACTTCATTATAATTTACCTACTTGTCTTCTACCCAACCAAGATTCATTTTGGCTTATAGTGAGCATACTTAAGGTATAGTGAGTACCTTTTCGTCAATTTACTGTTTTGAACAGTTGAATTCACAGTTTATCATCAATTCATCATCCTCTGTCATCAAATCCATTCGTAGGCAACTTGAAGCAACTGCTTTAATAGTTTTACCTAGCAAAAGCTTCTTAATTCTTCAGTCATGTGTTAATTTCACCGATTACCCTTTTGTTTCTTGGCAACCGCTTTCATGTCTAACCTCTTAATCAAGTGTACTGTTGTCAAGCTTTTCAAGGGTTTTCTTTGATCCCTTGTGCAACCTCAATTAGTTGCAGTATTACTTGTTGAATAAATTGTGATAAGAAAGTCAGAGAGCTTCCTGTCGACGGCTTTGAAGAGATAATTTGGTCTACTGTGAACGTATTATTCTGCAAACCTCTTTATTGTTTGTAATGCATTTTTAACCTTTCTCTTTGATCTTTTAGTTTCACTCTGGGCCTAGTTCAAATCTATCATGTTAGAGAATTAGCATGAAATGTTACATTGGGTTGACTACAAGTTTTCTATTGCAGATGAAAACCGGATGTGTGGCGCTTGTATTATGTTTAAACATTGGCGTTGATCCATCTGATGTAATAAAAATTTCTCCTTGTGCCAGAATGGAGTGCTGGATAGGTAAATGTAATATATGCTGCTGTTTCCTCATCTTCTCACTATTGATTCATTTATATGTTGATATTTTTATCAACAGATGCAGTAATAATGCCAATTCTTTTCTGAAGTTATGAAAGTCGGCCCTACTTGACAATCTGTTTCCTTTAAAACTTTGACATTGACTTTCACATCCTAATAAAACCTCAAGTACCTTCCTCATAATACCTAAGAATTCTGTAAATCTCGCAAAACTTGCTTACAAATTAAACAATGTTATGTAAACTTGAATACCTTATTGTGAGGCATGACGTTTATTTTGTTATCCGGAAGCTTCATTCATCTTAAAAAGTTTACAGGGCTTTTAAAATTTTAAGAATCAGCCACAAATGTTAAATCATTGGATAACTTCGTCAATATTTGTTTAAGTATTCATTAGATTCTTTTGTGATATTAAGTGACACATATCATGCATGGTGCACACAGACTTAAAAAGGGATAGAAATACACGCATTGCGCAAGCATATTTGAAAGAAGATCCCCTGGCTGCTGGTGATCTTCGTTTTTCCTTTACAATCTTTTATGACTGGGCATTAATTGGTTTGATCTGGTAATGTTTTCCCAATAATCAGTTGCCTTCTGTCATCATTAGCTGGATTGGCATCCACTCACAAATGATCTGGGTAACAGGACCTTTGAAGACAAAGGATAGCATAGAAAACATAATTAATATTTGATCAAATAGCATCAAACCTATAAAGAAATTTAAGAAAATGACACATGTAGAATACTCTACGACTTGAACTAATCGATACCATATAACAAACATGAAGGCAGTCGATAAGTATCAGTCTCATCTCTGATTGATGGATAATTTTAGTTTTCTTTTTGGGTGTGTCAGATCCATATTCTATGGCTGCATCAAAGGCTCTTGAGACTATTGGGAAAACATTGCATGCTCAATATGAACGGTGGCAGCCCCGAGTAACTACAAATCTTTGCTATTTGAGTATCACTGGAAAAAAAACTTCTAATAAATTTAATAGTTTTCTGTCTAATGTACAACAGGCTCGTTACAAACTTCAACTTGATCCTACTGTTGAGGAAGTGAAGAAGCTTTGTACTAACTGCCGCAAAAATGCTAGATCAGAGAGAGTCTTATTTCATTACAATGGTCATGGAGTACCTAAGCCTACAACTAATGGTGAAATTTGGGTTTTCAACAAGGTTCTCCCTCTGTATGTGAACTCCGTGTAATAACATTAAAATATCATACTAGTTGTTTATTGTTTTAATTCCTGAATCTTGTTGCAGAGTTACACACAATATATACCATTACCCATTAGCGATCTTGATTCTTGGTTGAAGACACCATCAATATATGTTTTTGACTGTTCGGCTGCTGGGATGATTGTTAATACATTTATAGAGGTACAATAGCTGTACATCTATTATATCAAAGGGTAAATTGCATTTATACCTCCCAAGGACGGATTTATGTGTGGACTTGTGGAGGCACTTGCCCCCATGAAAATTTTAAATTTTTTACTAAAAGATATACAAATCTGCATGGTGTCCCCATAGAATTTTAATGGGTGCCCTCAATCTACAAACAATGAGACCAAATAGAGAACAATTGTGAAGAAAATATGGTTGCAACCTAGTAGTATTTTGTAGTTTTTGTGATGAAAATAAAATTGATCATGTATTCATATGAAAATGACAGGTAAAAGTTATATAAGTGAGATATTTGTTTCTATTGGTAGAATTTATATTATAAAAGTTATTAATTTATATGTATACTTTTATAGTTTTATGTGTGCCCCCATAAGAAAAAATTTGTGGTTCCGTCCCTACCTTTCGAGGTTTTAAAGAGTGACATTTATTCTGCCAAACTCTTATCACTTTCCCCAATATTAATTCTTGTTAAATGAAAACTTAAAAAGACAGTTCTGCCCTTTCCAATAACATTTTAAATGGAACTAAAAGAGAAACCAAATAAGTAAATTTGTGAATATTAGAAAACAAATAAAATTTAATGAACTAGAAAATGAGAGAGAAGTGGGAATATATAATCTATATTTGCATGTATTATGTTGTACACTATAATATACGAAAGAAAAAAAATAATTTTTGCTTTAATAAATCCATATCGTGGATACCAAAACGATAAATGAAATACGTAAGAGACAATTTCGTCCTAAATGCACATGTAATTTGTCTTGAGTGATATCTACTCCTCTATACTTATAGGAGGATCCGAAGTTTCGCTATTTATGCTACAGTAAATAAAATAAAGCTACAGTAAATGAAGCTACAGTAAATAACACAACAACTTACTGCAGCAATATCACTGTAGAACAAAACAGAATAACGTGGCATTTTATAAAAACTGCATCACTTATAAAAAATTACTGTAGCATTTAAAAAAGAATTACTGTAGCGCAAATAAAAAAGGGCCGTGCTTTGCACGGGGTGCACACTAGTATGCAACAAATAGAAGCCTTGTGGTGATGGTGGTGTTTTTTTTTTTGGGGGTGTGTGTGTGTGTGTCCGCGCGCGTGTGTGCGTGGGAGAGACTGATACAATTTACCCTTATAGCAGTTATCTCTGTTTTTTTCCCTTTCAGTTTTGGAATAGCCTTAGCTTAGAAACATGATAGTTGCTTCTTGGTTTTCTATGCTAAATTATTTCTTTCTAGCGACAAGAATGGGACTCTTCCGGGGAATCTGCTTTGTCAAAAGACTGTATTCTGCTTGCTTCCTGTGAAGCACATGAGACTCTCCCACAAAGTTCAGATTTTCCAGCTGATGTGTTTACTTCCTGTCTCACTACACCAATTAAGATGGCACTACAGTGGTCAGTTTTTTGTGCCTTTTGTCTTATTATAATATATATGCTTGTGTTCACTTGTTATGATCTCCAAATTTTTTACCTAATCACATGGCTATTGTTTCTTACAGATGTTTCTGCTAAATTAAATTTTTTACCATTCAATTCTCTCATATTTGTATTTAGGCATCTCTGGAAGAAAGAATATCTCCAGTTCATAGCCGTATCTCTGGAGCTATCTTATGACTTTAGATGTACATTTTACACTTTTTTGTCTGAGCATGTGATCTCTTTACTGCTGCTTATAATATCACTTAAGATATTCTTCCTTCAGAAATTAGAAAAATCTACAGTACCCAAATTGTCTTAGTTGATAATAGCTGCTTGTAGTTATTGTTTCTCAAAATGTTAACGCAAAATTACTTTAAAACACATCTTTCCTCTGAATAACTCTTGAACTATTTTATTATAACTTTAAGTGCACACTTAACACTCTTTTGTCTGAGCACGTGGGCTCTTTACTGTTGCTTGTATTATCATTTATGGTATTTTCCTTCAAAAATTAGAAAAATTTACTTCTGTCAAAATTTCTTTGTTGATAATAGCTGCTCGTAAATTGTTCCTCTAGATATATAACTGCAAACTAACTTTAATTATATCTATCGTTGGACTTTATTCTAGATCAGAATCAATGTTGAAAATAACAAAAATGAATTACATAACGTTTGGCGTCATGTTGAGGGTTAAGGAAAAAAACTCAAAAAAGTGTAAGGGTCCTAAGGGATAACATTTGTTATATTATTTATTAATTATTTAGATATTTTATAAATACAAACAATTCATAATGACTTTTATACTTAGAATTATCAAACTTTTCAAACATAACATCACAATTATCAAATATAAAAAATATAGTATCATAATTTCTTAACAAAAGTTAGTCATATATGACTAATAACCATTCCAAAAAGTATCATGAAATGATCAAATACGTTAACGTCGTCAAGTTTAAGGTAATAAAAACAATTCTAAACACTTCTAACTCTTGAGTTCTTAATTTCTCAAAAATATTCTAATTCCTAATCAAGTTCATTACATTAACCAAACTAAACATGATTTTGTAACCATAATAAGAAAATTTTCATACATAGAGATTGCGAGTAAACTTAATTTCACAAACTTTAGTTTTAACTGAAAGTTAAAATCTAATCAAAATCAAGTAATAACTGAAAGTAATTATCTAACAAGCACAATTAACTCATGAATTAATCTCGATACTGTAATTTTGTGGCAAATATTAAAAAAATTATGTTGAAGGGTAAAGAAATGAAGCAACAAGTTTGATATGATTTATGGTAAATTGGCAATATAAAACATTAGAATTTGGAAGATAATTTTAGAATGACTATTTATTTAAATGATATAAATTGAGATGCTGGATACATAACTGAAAAATAAAAAAATTTACCTCATCGAAGTCACAGAAGCTACCGATAGTTGCAGGAGTTTCAGAGGAGGCAAAGAGCTAAGGTGAGGAGGCGAAGAGATCGCATATTCGCAAAAAGAGAATAGGGTGATCAGGACTAAAAGGGGTAGGGTTTAAATGATTTGAACGGTGAATATGCATTAATGCGTGCTAATCAGAGATGCACTTTAACCTAAAAACCCCATGTTGACTGGTTATATAACGTAACACACATTTAACACAATATAACGTGTTTTTTGTGTTAAACAGTTTCAATGTTAAATGAGTGTGTTACCTAACAAGAGGGTATTGTTAAGTTACAAAACGGGTTATATAATGGATTTTGTATACAATTATCATAATCAATAGATGTTATCAGATCTCATTGTATTGCATGTCCAAGTTGTTGAATGATGTATATTTCTTACGAATTTAATTCTTCTGTGAGAATTTTGTTAAAACTTAACATTTGTGCATTTGTTTTCATATATCTAAAAAAAAATACAGAAGTTTGACTTCCCATTGGCACACCTTGCCTTAATGGTTGCTTCAGTATTACACATAGTTGCGTGATTCCCTGGATCCCCCTTCGAATCATCATACAGTTCCTTTGAACCAGTTCTCGGTACATTTGCGAACCATCCCCTCTGATACACGAATTGCTTCCCCAAAATAAGCATACTGCTTACAAATACACGGGGCGCAAGGGCCCTTCAAGTGCACATGAGCAAGACGTAATGCAATGTGCGCAATCGAGTGATGGGAGACGCACAATAGAACATATTAGTCAATAATTTTACTATAACTAAATACCTATGTTAATAAAGCATGAAATGAAGCTATGATGCCAATATGAACTATGTGAAAAGAAAAACAGAAAAAAGAGCGAACTCCATAAAAAAGACGTATTCAAATATTATGTATGGGAAAAATATTAAAATGCACACTTAGCTTTCTAGTTTCTAGTTCTACTATATACATAGGAAAACTATAAGCGGACCAAAAAATATTTTACAATGTACCATGGACCGTACTTGCGTATCAAAGCAAGCTACTACTGTCGAATCCAAATTTTCTAAGTGGCAAATTGCGTACCTGAATTCATACCACGTACCGTAATGTATCACATACTGTGAAACTATGGCTATTACATGCTTTACTTGCTGAAGTATTATAAGGTCCTTGAAGAGAGAAGTTATCAAGTATATTAAATGATGCTGTAAAGAATGGACATCAGTTGACATTGAGACCATTGTGGGGTTCAGATATAGGGATCCACTGTTGAGATTCTTTAGGAAGGGAATGAAGCCATTTATGGTATTTGAGGCATTGGGATTTACCAAATGAGATTCTTTTAAGAGAGTTTAGTTTTGTATACAAGGATCAGTAGAAAAGCAACAAGTGCACATCACATGGTTTATCTACATTGTATATAGTGTTGTCAGCAATAATATTCTTAGTATTTTTAGAATTTCTTCAAATCAGACTCTTATATAACTATTTGAACTCTGTTCGTTTAAGTGGTGCCAATAATGTCCTTTCTGGAATATTGTGTAAATCTATGATTAGTAGACATACACACATCATGTTCAGGCATGGACATGGAATGTATGTGTTGGGCACATGTCCAATATCAGGACACATGGACGCAGACACGACTCTCTCTCTCTCTCTCTCTCTCTCTCTCTATATATATATATATATATATATATATATATATATATATATATATATGTGTGTGTGTGTGTGTGTGTGTGTGTGTCTCTGTTTTTTTGTCTGAATATATGTATATTTGATCATGTCAGAGAAAAATTTAGCAAAACGATTCCCGTACAACAATCAGCTTTTGTTAAAAGGGGTAATATAATAGTCAACAACATACAAATTTGTAGTGTCAGATACGAAGGGCACGAGTCTTGTGTCCTGCTGCGTCGGACACACCACGTTTTTGTTTGAGAATTGTCCTAAATACTTTAGGTTTAAGGTACTTACTTTTTTACAATGCATGCTTCTTCTAATAGCCATCTATTCTTTAATTTTTTAACAGTTCTTTCTTATCCCTTTTTCAGGTTTTGTTCACGGTCCTTGCTTCATTATGTCCTAGATCATTCTCTTATAGATAAAATTCCTGGGCGCCAAAATGATCGTAAAACACTTATGGGGGAACTGAACTGGATTTTTACCGCCGTAACTGATACGATTGCTTGGAATGTCCTTCCTCATGGTATCCTAGTTTACTTTGATTGTTAGGGCCTGTTTGTTTGCCCCAAAAAAAGGGGAAATCAAAGAAATGGAAAACTATTAAATCAAAGAATTGTTTTGGGAGTGTTTGGATTGCTAAAAAAAAGAAGAAGTCAAAGAAATGGAGATGAGTTGTCACCTTATTATAGGATGATGTGAGCGATTTTTTAAGAAAACTTGTTTTGATGTTGTTTGGTTGGCGAAAAAAAATAAGGAAATGAATTATAAGAAACCAATTTCTTAAAAAAGTTTGTTTGGTTCTTTCTTAAAAATAAGAAAATAGATGAGATGAGATGAGCTGTCATTGTATTATTGGGTGATGTGATCCAAGATTAAGAAAAGCATTTTCACAACTTTTTGGGATGAAAACAAAGAAATAGAATGTTAATGAGATGAGATGAGTTGTCACAATCTTATTGGATGATGTGGGTGATTTTTAAATATGAGATGAGATGAGTTGAGTGATGTTGTTGATGAAAATAATATTTTATTGGATGTGGTGGATGTGATGGATGAGTTGTTGGATGAAAATAATATTTTATTAGATGTGGTGGATGAGTTGTTGAATAAAAATAATATTTTGTTAGATATTGTGGGTGAGTTTTAGGGATGGAAATGTGTGAAATTGTACTTTTTGAGATTTCTTGCTTTTCATTTCCATTTTTCGGTTTTTTGGGAAATAACCAAACAGGCCCTTAGTAGAATTTTCCACTAGTACATGCTATTTTCTGTAGTGGGTTTAGCTTTGTGCTGATGTGGAAACTGACAATGTGCAGATCTTTTCCAAAAGTTGTTTAGACAAGATCTACTTGTTGTTAGCCTTTTCCGTAATTTTCTACTTGCTGAACGAATTATGAGAACTGCAAATTGTTCCCCAATATCTTATCCATTATTACCATCGACCCATCAACACCACATGTGGTATGTATTTGTAGAATATTTATCTTGATTTCTCTCACATATTCTTATTTTTTGCCCTCAACTATTACTCATTACAGGGATGCATGGGACATGGCTGCTGAGATCTGTCTTTCTAAGCTCCCACAACTGATTTCTGATCCAGATATGGAATTTCAGGTTACTTTTTCTTGTATTGGTGAAACAGTATACTGCATTTCTCATATACGTGATATACCGTTACTTGACCTTTGTCACGAATCACCAATGAGCATTTGTCTTATTTTTTTCTTTCTCCTGTTCATTTTGATCTAAGTTCAAATATTTTTTTTTTCAGCCAAGCCCCTTTTTTACAGAACAATTGACAGCATTTGAAGTGTGGCTAGATCATGGTTCTGAACATAAGAAGCCACCGGAGCAGTTGCCAATTGTACTCCAAGTGAGGAACTTGTTTTGTGACTTAATGTTTATCTTCCATGCAAACAAACAGGTTCTTGCTTATTTGTTTTCTCCTTTTCAACAATGTGTCTATTAACAATCTCATCTCACGGGGATTTCTGTCAGTTAGCATGGTTGCTTAGTTAACATATTTTCTGGAGTTTCCACTTATTTTTTCCTCCTTCCTACTGCTTCCAAGGCTCATTGAAAGAGAAATAAACCTTTGACCTTGTAATTTATATATTCTTGTTGATTTTAGTTTCAAGAGCCCATATCCCTTCTTTTTAAAGATGTTTGATTTGAGTTTGTTAGTAGACGGATGATGGTTAATTCCTTATTTCGAAAGTGATCGTCTAAGATTTTCTTCCTTATTTTCTGTAGTGCTATAGTTAACTATTGGCCAATGTCTTAGTAAATAGAGAACCCAAAATGAATTTTGGCTAGCTAACAGGTAATTATCTACGATTGTACTTCATTCGTTTTTTACCACGCAATTTGTAGTTTGTTCTGTCGGTTTCAAGTCTAGTACTGTTGGAATTATGCATTTTATTTTTATTACTCTTTTATGCTTTGTTGCTGATTACTCGATGATTCTAGGTTTTGCTTAGCCAATCACATCGATTTCGTGCACTAGTACTTCTTGGCAGATTCCTTGATATGGGATCCTGGGCTGTGGACCTGGTATTTTGAGTATTTGTGCATTGTTACCCTGTTTTCTTCCCTTTACTTGAGTAATAATTTTGAAATTTGAGTTAGCCTTTCTCCACATTCACATTGTGAATCCTAGGCCTTGTCTGTTGGAATATTCCCATATGTGCTCAAGCTGCTACAAACAACTGTGATCGAGTTACGGCAAATTCTTGTGTTCATATGGACCAAGATACTTGCCCTTGATAAGGTATCTTTGGTGCCAAATTTACCCATTTTTACTTTGAATCAACAATATTGCACAATTTTCTTCTTATGTTAGGAATATCACTTGCTGGCAGTATTTTAGGAAAACAGGTTTTATGTATTACTTTCTTATATAACCATCTTAATAGTCTTTTCCTTTGTTTATTTCCTTGGATTTTAGTCTTGTCAGGTTGATCTTGTAAAGGATGGAGGCCATGTATATTTCATCAAATTTCTTGACAGCATGGATGCTTACCCCGAGCAGCGCGCAATGGCTGCTTTTGTTTTAGCAGTTATTGTTGATGGACACCGGCGAGGGCAAGAAGCATGCACTAAGGAGAGTCTAATTCATGTGTGCTTGAGACATCTGCAACTCGCAAGTCCTCATGAAGCACAGACTGAACCCTTGCTTCTTCAATGGCTTTGTCTCTGTCTTGGAAAGCTGTGGGAAGACTACCCAGAAGCACAGCTAATTGGCTTGCAGTTAGATGCACCTTCCATATGTGCACCTCTACTGTCAGAACCACAACCTGAGGTGGGAAATATTATTTTCTCCTTAAAATCTAATAGAATGTCCAGTTGCATACTTATTTTGTATCTAGACTAATGCACTTCTCTCTTATGTCAGGTTAGAGCTTCTGCAGTTTTTGCCCTGGGGACCCTCCTTGAAGTTGGATCAGACTTTAGAGATGGACATAGTGTTGATGATGATTATGATGACGATGAAAAGACAAGGGCTGAACTGAACATCGTTAGGAGTCTTCTCCTAGTTGTTGTAGATGGTAGTCCTCTGGTTAGAGCAGAGGTCACAGTCGGTATGTTTATTATTCTGTACTATTTTATTTTGTATTGATGTGATTGAAGTTATGTATGATAGTGTAACAATTAAAGTGGGAACTAATGAAGGAGAGACTAAATTATTTCCAATAACCATACGTTTACATCAAAGGATAGCTTTAAGTCCTTATCTTTTTGCTGTAGTTATAGAACACTTACTAGATATATTCATGATGAAGTGCCATGGTGTATGTTATTTGCTGATGATATAGTATTAGTTGAGGAGACTAAAACATGTATAATTTTTAAAGTAGAAAGGTGGAGGCAAGCTCTTGAAACTAAAGGTTTTAGAATTAGTAGAACAAAAACAGAATACATGGAATGCATTTTTAGTAAAACTAGAAAGAGAAAAGAGCCTACAGTACATACTGATGGCCAAAAAAAATCTAAAAGCAATCGATTTCGCTATTTAGGATCAATCATTTGGCATGATCGTGAGATTGAGGATGGTGTTGTCAGTCGAATCAAATCCGGATGATCAAAATGGAGAAGTGTTTCGGGAGTTTTGTGTGACCGTAGAATACCTGTTAGACTTAAGAAAAAAAATTCTATAAACAGTTATAAGACCAACAATGCTTTATGGATCAGAATGTTGGGCAATTAAAAAAACATGTATAAAAAAATGAGTGTAGCAGAAATGAGAATGTTGAGATGGTCTTGTGGGTCTACAATAAAAGATAGGATAATAAATGAATACATGTATAATAAATTAGAGGTTGCTTCTATTGAGAATAAAATGAGAGAGAATCAATTAAGATGGTATGGCCATGTACAACGTAAACCTCTTAGTACACTGGTTAGGAGAAGTGATAATATTATAGTTAATGAAGCAAAGAGATCTAGAGGTAGACCTAGAAGTATTTGGTTGAAGGCAATTACGAACGATATGGTTATGGTTAACTTAACAAATGAGATGACCCATAATAGAACGTAATGGAAGAATATGATTCATGTAGTTGACCCCAAACATTTAAGATAATGGCTTTGTTGTTTATTTTGTATTGATTTTATGTGTTTTCATAATACTACTTTACTATTTGTTACAAGTTCATTTTGATTAGAGCAATATAATATGTTACTATAAGAGCTGCCCTTTATGTTGCAAACTGATCCTATAGTGTAGTTATGTAAATTCCGTCCTGACTCTCTGGTCTATGTTCAGAATTTTTTTCAGTCCATTTGCATTTTTAAGCATGTAGCCAATGGGTTGAGCCCCTTCTAAGGGTCACCCATTAGTCGTATGTGACCTTGAACCCCTTCTAAGGGTCACCCATTAGTCGTATGTGACCTTGAATGATACATATGGAGGAGGGCATATCTGTTGACAAATTAATATTTAGTCACTAACACTTGGAGAAGTGATCAATGGGTCGTTTTCATAGTTTTTCATGTATTGCATATTTATATATGGTGTATAGATGCAGATAGATGCATATACAAAGATCTGAAATTAAGGAATATGACAATCAAAGTATATGGGATATCGGGGTAGTATTGGACAGACAATTCATATCGGATTTGAGGATATCAAGGAAATATCGGGGATATGTAGTAAATATCGGAGTGTCATATTGAATGATGTGGATAAAACATATATAATATAATGACATAAAATGTAATCTAAACATACTTAATGAGATCTAAGCATACAAAAATGTAAATAATATGTGTTTAGGATTACTAACTAATTGTAAAAACTTATTGAGCTAAAAGAATCTACTAGAGTTTGCTAAAAAAACTTCATAAAGCTGGAACTTTTGCTGAATAATATTAAAAAAAATTTACAGAACTATATTATTTTGTGACAAGCCATGTAAAAGGATATATCGATCAACATATTAGCCATGACTTTATATACCGGATACCGGGGAAACATCGGACGGCTAAAATTTATATCGGATTGCAAATACTAGGAAAATATTAGAATTGGATATATGTAGTAAATGTCAGTGTTATATTGGATGATTTACATATATAATATACTGTCCAAAAATATAATTTAAACATACTTAATGAGATATAAGCATGCAAAAATGTGAATAATGTATGTTAAGGATAGTAGAAACTTGATTAGTGAAAAAAGCTACTAGAATATGCTAAAAAGCTTCATGACTGGAATTTACGATTAAAAAAATTAAAGAAAATTTAGAGAACTATATTGTTTTACAACATCGAAATAAAAGAACATATTGGCCAACATATCGGCCATGTCGGCGATATATTGCCTAAAAATTACCAAAAAATTTAAAGGATATTAAGATATATCTTTTTTGCGGCAAGCCTTATAAAGAGATATATCAGTCAGTGTTTTCAAAGGCACGTAGCTCATTGTGACTCTTGCGACCTACGATGTGAGGCGGTGGTGAAGCGCCCCGCATCTAATGCGGTAGCGCCTCTTTGCACCGTGCAGGTAACACACTTTTTGCACAGGACGCATGCAGGACATTCATTTATTTTTTTCTTTAACATTTTAATAGGGTCTTTATATCGAATAATCCATACCTCAAAATGAATAATAAACTCATTACTCTATTTTACTAGACTGATTGAGGACCCTAACTCATTCTCGTTTACTATTTAGTTTTTCTTTAAATTAGTCTTGATTTGATTTTTAGTTTGGAAAATTATGAATTTTACTACTATGTTGGGTGTGTTACTGTGTTAGCATAATGAATTAAGACCTCATTTTGTTATTTGGTAGTAGATATTATCTATTTTGACATACTATTTATGTGAATATTCATAAACACGTTCTTTCATGCTTGATTATCTATCTTGAAAAATTATGTGCGATAAGCGTCTCGCTTAACTCGGGCCTAGGCATTGCGCCTTGCGCATGTACACGTAAAGAAACTTTGCACCCCTCATCGTGCATTGATAATACCGATATCGGCTGATATATCAGCAACATTGAGGATATTTAAAACAATGATATTAGCTAATATATTGGCCAGGGATATATCCTAAAAATGCAAAAAAGAAAAAAGCGGTAAAGGATTGCGGCAAACCATATAAAAGGATATATCAGCCAACATATTAACTATATCAGGGATATTTAAAACAGTAATTTAGTAGTTGCTTGCTTCTTCAATATATGTAACACCCTAATCTGGTCCTATTCAGAACCAAACACAAAAAAGAAACTACTTAATAGGAAAACATGCAATGAAAATTGTATTATAAGTAGATAATAAAAGTAAATTAGTTATTCCCCCCTTCTTCGAGGTCTTGGGCCATTATATTTAGTGTTCTGGACAAATTAATTGAGAAAGTAGACAGATGGAAATTTACTGAAAGAGTTAATTGCAGATAGAAGCCCTGTAGTATTGGCCCAAGTGTGGAAGACCTCCCCGGTGAACTTTTTTTGACCCTCTTTAAGTGTAAAAAATATTAGCTATTGGGGGTCTATACATCTTTATAAAACCTTTTTTTCCTTCTCTTCTAACAGTGAAAAAATTCACTCAGGGGTCTATCTTCACAATTTAGAACTATAGGGGGTCTATCTGCAAGTGGGGGATAGTACAGGGAGTTTATCCGCAATTAACCCTTACTGAAAAGTAGACAGATTAAAATAAACATGTGAGAATTATTTGAGAAGTAGACAAATTAAACTAAAAGGTAAACAAATCTTTCTACTTTAATATAAGCCATCCGTTTGTTTCATGTAAGTCTATCTATCTTTTCTGTAAAACTGTCTAGCTTTGTTACTACTCTATCTGCCTTGGTATGATATCATCTTCCTTTGATACAGGTCTATCTACGTTCAATGTAAAGTTGTCTATCTTAATATAAAATTATCTTTTCCCTTGACATGTCTGTCTAAATTGTTATAAGACTATATACCTATTTTACAAATCTATCTGCCTTCATATAAAATCATCTTCCTTTGGTCCAAGTCTTTCCATCTTTATTGTGAAATTGTGTTCCTTTTTTTGCAGATCTGATTCAGAAACAGAACTTGGTATCTCATGTCAAGATTAATTTCCAAATAGAATATAAAGGAATATTATTAGTATTTTAAAATATTTTAGAACAAAGTGAGGTAAAGGGGATAGAGGGAATCTTTTATTAAAAAAAACCTTGAACTACCCGAATTGCAGGGAATCACATGTTTAAATGACTTTTTTGTTTGTGTTTTTTTTTGTTTCTGTCTTTGTTTTTTTTTTTTTTTTTTTTTTTTTTTTTTTTTTTTTTTTTTTTGGGGGGGGGGGTTTGTTTGGGGGTGTGGGGGTGTTAGTGACATGTTTTCTGTAAGTTCTATTATCCAAATTATATGCTCTTTGCATACTTACCTATGACAATTTCTGAATGGCAATCTTACATAGCTCTCCAATAAGCTCTCTTTTCTTGAAGCTGTTTCTACTGAGAATCTTATGGCAGACATATGATATAAACTGATCATAAACTATCCTTGTATCCCTCCATTTGCTTATCTGTTAGGTCATGAAGAGCTGCATATGGTGTAATGCTTTATTTCGATGGTTTAATTTGGTTTGAGAATGAGACTGTATATTCTTTGACAGCTCTTGCCCGCTTTGCCTTTGGCCATAACAAGCACTTGAAGTCAGTTGCTGCTGCATACTGGAAGCCTGAACCAAACTCTATGTTGAAGTCATTACCATCATTGGCGAATATTAACAGTCCAAGAACTGGTGGTGCCAGCTCTGGCCAGTATATGCATCCAGGAAGCTCACTTTCCTCCCAAATTGGGCCTGTGATGAGAATTGGTAGTGACAGCATGGCCACCACCCAAGATGGAAGGATTTCCACAATCAGTCCACTTGCAGCTGCTGGGATCATGCATGGTTCGCCAGTATCAGATGATTCCTTCCAACATTCAGAGTCCGGCATGTCAGTAAAAGAAAACACGAGCAATGGAGTCATCAGTTATTCTAATAGATTCATGTCTCTTGACAATGCATTGTATTCACAATGTGTTCTAGCCATGTTCACTTTAGCAAAAGATCCATCTCCTCGAGTTGCAAAGCTTGGCAGGAGCACTCTGTCTATAATTGGTATTGAACAAGTTGTTTCCAGGACAGCAAAGTCTAGAGGAAATACTTACCAAGGAGAACATTCAGCTCCATCTGCACCCTCTAGCCTTGCTGGGTCGGCACGCTCGTCGTCATGGTTTGATATGAATGCTGGTAATTGCTTTGTCTTGTGGTCAGATTTTTTTTCTAAATTTTTTAATGTTTAGCTAGTGTTCCTTGATGCATGCCCTTTGTTATGTACATCCTAAGTCATGACAAATCTGTCCTTTCTACAATACTGCAGAAATTTGTTTCTTTAATTTTTGTTCTTATTATGTTACTTTATTATGCAGGTCATCTACCATTGACATTTAGAACACCTCCTGTTAGCCCCCCAAGACAGAATTACCTAACAGGGTTACGACGTGTTTGTTCCCTAGAGTTCAGGCCAAACATATTAAATTCCCCAGAATCAGGATTAGCTGATCCACTCTTAAGTTCTGTTGGATCATCAGGGGCTTCTGAAAGTTTACTCCCACAATCAACTATGTACAACTGGAGTTGTGGTCATTTTTCAAGGCCACTTCTTACGGCAGCTGATGATAATGAAGAAATCATCGCTGGAAGAGAAGATCGGGAGAGAATTGCATTAGATCGTATTGCCAAGTGCCAACACTGTTGTGAGCGGATCATAATCACACTACTTTCTCTGTTTACAAAGTATTTTTCTCTGATCATACTGTTAACTAGTCTGTATGATTATTTTATCTCTATGAGTTGCAGCTGTAAGCAAGCTTAATAATCAAATTGCTATCTGGGATACCAAATTTGAAACGGGTACTAAGGCGGCATTACTGTTGCCCTTTTCACCTATTGTTGTTGCTGCTGATGCAAACGAAAGAATCAGGTGACTGGAGATATATACTTCAACATTATTCTTGGTCTTATAGAATTTCTAGGATATCATGTTTTTGACAACTACTATGTTTTAATTCTTGGGATATAACCCAAAACATGCATGATTTTCTTTTAAATAAATGCCATTTACTAGTAATGGTCATTTGGTTTGTTAGCTGTATGGTTTGTGATTAATTTTTTTGATGCTGAACTTAATTTTCAAAATTGTGGTATATGGATATATTTTAAGAAAATATGGGCAACTAACATCATGGTAATTCATGGGATTTGATTTACTGGAAGGGCTTTAAAACTGCAATTCATTAGCATAATATTTTAACGTAAGAACTCTTGAATTGTGTTTTTCGGGAATTATACTATTGATGTATGTACCCATATCAGTTGCTTATTTACCTTATTGTTTTGTCTTATGCCAACTGCATCGTCAAAATATAACTAAGTATTGGTTAAAGATTTACTGCTTAGCAAGGATCTTCTAAATGCTATTTTTTGAGTGGAATAGTGAGAAGGATTTGATCAATCACAGAATATGCACTTTCAAGGGTTCTGACCCTGCTCTGTAACGTTGGACCATATAATACCACTATACTAGATGCATGTATTTCAAATGGTTTGGTGTGTGAAGTTGGGTTTACATCTTTTAAATGCTTTAATATGTGAAGTTGGTTATCTCTACTGCAAAGTATCCTCCGCCCCCCCCCTTCTTTCTGTAGAAATCACCTTTGAAATAGGGCGCCACTATGAAAACCACCTTTAAAGGAGTTCCGATAGCAATCAACTACTTAGACCTTTAAATGTTGAGTATTCTTCTGGCTAACAATAAGAAACTGAAGGCTTAGTTTACTGAGATGGGAAAAAATATAGGGTTAATGGAGAATGGAAACAGATGTTGGAATATGAGAATAAAACACTTACAGGATTTCAATCGAAAATTCACCGGAAACTTAGTCAAGGTAATTGATTGCTGCCAAAACCCCCTTGAAGCAGTTTCTGTATTAATGAAGCTTTAGAGGTGGTGTTCACATTGTTGCCTTATTTTCAAGGTGGTTTCTTTGGGGGGAAAACAACTCTATTTCGAAGGTGGTTTCGTTGTTTAGCTTTGTTTTTTTTCCCAACCAGTAGCGGTTTTGTTTGTGCTGGTTATAATTTGAAAATAATATGGTGATTAATCAAATGATTTCTACTAAGCACCAATCCATGCACTGGGTAGAATATTGTGATCAAGGCCGATGGTTGGTTGTTCGTAGTCATCAAACATGCTAACCAGTAAAATGAACAGTTTTTCAGTTTCCCACTTTATCACACAATTTTGACTGCAGTGTAAAGTGAACTAGCTGTCATAGTCATTGCTAATATATGACATTTACTGTGTAGGGTATGGAATTATGAGGAAGCAAACTCATTGAACACATTCAATAACCATAATTTATCTGATAGAGGAATATTCAGGCTCTGCCTTGTCAATGAGCTTGATGATAGTTTGCTTCTAGTTGCTTCAAGTAAGTTTTATTTCTTTCTCTCCAATTTATAGACATTTTTGTCAGGTATAGGAAACTTTTTTTGGTAATCTTTTAGAATGGCCAAAAATGCATTCTAAATGCAGGTGATGGGAATGTTCGGATTTGGAAGGATTATACCCAGAGGGGTAGACAGAAACTTGTGACAGCATTTTTATCAACTCCAGGTCATAGACTTGGTGTTCGAAGGTTGGATGCAGTTGTTGACTGGCAGCAGCAATCTGGTTATTTGGTAGTGTTCCTTATACTTGTTTAATCATTTTTTGTGTTCCCATTACCTTGTACTTGTTTTGGTACTTATCCCTGCATATTTTCTGTGTTATATTACAGTATGCTTCTGGCGATGTGCCGTCTATCCTGGTTTGGGATCTAGATAAAGAGCAGAATGTTTGTTCCATACCATCTTCTTCTGACAGTGGCATATCAGCTTTGGTTAGTTTTTTCTGCTGCTGCTTACATATCTATATATCCATTTACTAGTGAATAAATATGTCCTGCTATTTGTTATTATTTAAGATCAGTAATTGTATAACATTTTGGTATAAAATAATTTTTTGTATCTATTTTTTTCAGCTGCTGATTTTGAAGTTCTTATCTTTCAATATGTGAAAAATGTATTTCTGGGTATTCATCGGCTGATCCACTGCAATGAATTGGCTTCCACATGTCAATTAGATATGTTTCATATTAAACTAAAAGTTATCCCAAAATAAACGGTACCGTTCATGTGCATAGAGCCATGAACTTGCTGTATTATTCCATCTAATAATGAACAGTATTTAGTCTCGGTCTGTTTCAAGATGCAGGACCATTTGCCTTTGACATACCAAATACCAACATGGATCACATTTATAACTTAATAAAGTTCTTAAAGTTTTTTCAATTGCTCATCATTTGAACGAACCTCAAAAATCTTTTTTTTTTCTTTTTTGTTGGGTTACAATCCAGCCATTATGAAGTTTTAAAGTCAATTTCTGGGTCCAGCTTTGTTTCCATACTTCTGGGACCAAACTTCTCTATTTTGTGACAAAGGTAAAGTAAATGCTCTCTCTTAATTTTGAACTGCTGGCGCATTCCTCGTGTAAAGCCTTGATACACTCGTGCAACAATTGATTAGAAAATGTGTTTGGCATAAGAATTGGTCTTGATTCGTTCAGTTTTTTTCATACTGTACTTTTTATGTTTATTTTATATTGTAAGTTGTCATCTTGTTAGTTTATAATCGTTGTTTCTGATACTGTTCCGTTTTGTAGTCTGCTTCACAAGTTAATTGGGGTCAGTTTGCAGCTGGCTTTGTGGATGGGTCTGTCAGAATCTATGATGTTCGCACTCCTGATCTGTAAGTTTCTGATATTTTCTAGAAGATTATAAGTTTTTTCTGATAGGGTTTTTTTCCTTCCTAGAAGCTACCTTAGAAATAAGGTAATTATATGGAAATCACATTTCAGACTCAATTTATACATGAACCACCTTTAAAGTGAATTTTTGTTGCAATCAACCACCACAAAGTCGAAATTTTTAGTAAAAATCCAAAATCACCCTTAAAAAACTCACATTCAAGGCACATGACGTGTCTTTTTTAGTGTTTAGGTCTTGTTAGAATGCAACTCACGTATTTTGAACTTGATTTTTTTAATCTTATTATTGGTATTTTAGTGAAATTTAATTGGGAGGTGGTTGATTGCAACAAAAAACCCATTTAAAGGTGGTTTTATATAAAAATTAAAATTGAAAGGTGTTTTCCGTATAATTACCCTATGTTTAAGCTGGTTTGTTACACCTGAGCCTATGAGCCCGTTGGCATGAAGTAAACCATAAGACCCACTGAGAGCAACTCGTTATTTGGTTAAAGTCACTGCTAAAAAGTGCTAGCACTTGTTGCCCTTGTGTCCTTTGGATTACCTTGTAAACACTTCAAATTCCCTACCATCTTCCCCATCATATTTCGATTTGGGACTATTCTCTCTGTTTTTATTTTTGGTATTACAATGATGCCACCTTACAAAGGTGATGTCATCATCGTAACATGATAATTAGTCCGCCCTAGTATCACTGCCAGATGATATGGATTCTAGAGATGTCTCATACGGGTTTTAGATTTTAGATGTGGCTCCCACTGCACTCATGCGGTGTAGCACTTAGTCCTGCATAACACTTAGTTCTACACTTCCGGCTGACTAATTGGTCTGATATCATTTCGCACGCCCTGGGCCTGCGAGTCTGTTGACGTAAAGTAAACCATGGGACTCACTAAAAGCAAGTCGTAGTTCGGCTAAATCCACTGCCAAAAAGTGCTAGCACTTCGTTGCTCTTGACTCCTTTGGATTACCTTCTAAGCACTTCAAATTCCCCGTCATCTTCTGATGCGGGACTATTCCCTTTCTTTCTTTTTTATTTTTTTTATTTGGGGGTGTTACAAGGTTTCTAGGGAAAAAAACCCTTTCTGATATTCGTGAAAATTTGCTATATACATTTTATTGGGACACATTTTATCGGGAAAGGTACTGACGCCTTGCCTTCTTTTGTAGTTTAACCTTCAAAGATTTTTACAGATTTTTTTTGTTGTCTGCAAATGGTTTTGCAGGCCTGTTTGTTCAACAAGATTGCATAATCAGAGAGTGGAGAAGGTTGTTGGGATAGGCTTTCAGCCTGGCATTGATCAAAGAAAGGTAACAATGTGTAGCATTTCTCCTTACAAACGGACACGTTCAAGAGCACTTAATATAGCTTTCCACATAGGAGAATTCATACAGCAGAAAAATATAATAAGTGTGACAATGTATATATTAAGCTATCATTAAGGTTTCTATATATAATTTGAGAAGGTCAATAGTTTGTTTTCTGAGACATTTCTTTTGATTTTCAGACGTTTCTATGTCCTTTCCAATTCATGAAAAAGAAGTCTGTGTGTTACATTTATCTTATCGAAATGCAGATTGTGAGTGCCTCCCAAGCTGGAGATATACAGTTCCTCGATATAAGAAATCCTGCCAAAGCATATCTCACTATTCATGCCCATAGGGGCTCTCTGACAGCATTGGCTATTCACCGTCATGCCCCAGTCTTTGCAAGTGGATCAGACAACCAAATTGTCGAAGTCTTCAGCTTAGAGGGGACACCACTGAGCATCATTAAGTATCATCCTACATTCATGGGTCAAAAAATTGGTTCCGCCAGAAGCCTCAGTTTCCACCCATACAGACTACTACTCGCTGCTGGTGCTGCTGATGCTTGTGTGTCCATCTATGCTGATGACAGTTACCAAGCGAGGTAAACATTAATTACATGAGGAACATCATCTCGGGATGAAGAGCTATGTTGATAATTCTCAGTCCCAACGGCCATGGCTGCGGGACCAAGAACAGATGGGCAATAGTTTACTGCAACAGCCCCATATTGTGTCATGAGATGGACATCTAGACGTCTGGTCTTCATATCAAACTTGTATGTTACAATATTCGTTAGCCTCCCCTGCGGAATGTCAAATATCGTCAGGAATTCCTGCGCTACCATCAGAGGCTCTCACAAATAATCTTGATACCGAGGCAAAAGCTGTGAATAGTTTTTTATTTTCTTTAGATCAATTTGTAAAAGTGCCTATTTTTTTAATCCCCCCCCCACCACCCCCACCCCCACACACAATTTTTAAAGTTCTGCCTAAATGAGAAGTAAGTTATCTTGTATCCGAGAAATTCTTGGCTAATTATCATCCTGATGTTTAATCTTGTATTTTTGTGTGAACTCTTCAGCAAAGTAGTTAACTTAATGCTGGTTATGGATGTATAAAATGGATTATGGGCGATTTAACGTCCTACCTTCTATCCTTCTATCTTGGGGTGGGGGGAATAAAATATCATATAAGTTGTTTAGATGGCTTACTCATCTGTTGCTTGGCTTACGTGAATGAGGAGGAGAAGGCAAGTAACGTACCACCAACCGTTTACAGTTGCATTTTGGTTCTGTTAGTTGTGGCCGTTCTTTTTAAACTTTGAACTACTTGTACGTTGTAGCTATAAATAGCTCACTGCAAGTTTATGACCATACAATTTGTTGTTGTGAAGATTGTTTATTGTGTAAACGTACATATGCTTGGCTATGGTCCTCTTATCCTACACTGCTTACTGATGTTTTCAGAGGTGCATGTTTTTGTGGAAGTTTTTAATGTTTCAGGCTGTGTACTTGTTGTGTATCTCATGCTCAATGATAGTTCTCTTTCTTTACGCTAGCTACTCCAGTTTTCTTTGATTTTTTTACAAGGCTTCAGCTTCTAACGTTTTAGGAAGTCTTTAATATTCGAGGCCTGGTAGTATGCACGTGCAAAGGAACTTTACCATTTTAGAGGAAAATTTTCTTTTTGGGAAAATTGTTTCAAGGCCCCAAAAGTGGATTTTTCTTGTGGCTTAGACTCATGTACTTTGGCCTATATGCTAAAATCCTTAAAAATTCAAAAAAAAAAGTACTTGAGCCCTATAAGTCCTTCTCTCAGCCGTATTTGCACACAGAGACCCGAAAATATCTTTGCTTTTCTCCCTGTGCCTCGAAAACAATTGCTCAAGAGAACCTCAGCTATGATAATCAGACCCGCTCCCCTCGCTCCCTTCGCGTCAACCGCAATTTCTTTTTCTTTATACCAAACATTCACAGTCTCAGTGATAATAATCCTATGAGTATATATCACACAGCAAGTGGACAATTGTGCTTACTACTTTTTGTCCACAAACCACAGTGTAACGCAAACCATTTAAATGGGCACACGAAGGCCTCTGTTGTGGGTCCCCATCGTATACAAGTCTATTGTTTAGTCAAAATATTACATCACCTAGAATAAACAGCTGATCGATGCGTACAAAACACCCCAACCCCAACTTTAGACTGTTTCTCACCCGACCGTACCCCCTCCATGAGACTGGCGAAAATGATGTCATTGAGAAAGAAAAAACTTCAAATGTGGGAGAGGGTACGTCGCTTGTAGTTGGAGACGACAAATGACTACATCGAGGGGTTTTATCTTTGGAGGACGTACATTTTATATATTTGTTTACAAGGCGAGAAAAGTTTAAAATTCAGGGGATTTTCGGTCAAATAATCAGATTGGCCTATAAAGTAACGCCCATTTGCCAGTAAGGTCTAAACGAAAACACTTTTTGGCTCGCGCTTTAACGCGCGAGCCAACTCGCACAGGAACAGGCGGGGGGCCCCCCACTGTCCAGTGGGGGCCCTACCCCCTGTTCCTGTGCGAATTGGTCGCGCGTCCTGTAAATGCGGGCCAAAAAGCAGCCGCTGACGCGTCTAGAAAAAACTATTTGGTCGTGAGAACAAAAAACCTATAAAGTGACACACTTAACTGAACAAGGCATATTCCAGTTGCTAAAACTCTAATTTCACTCTCTATCTAAGTATATAACATTCTTGACAATAAGCAGATGTCATTGGCGAAATGAGAAAAAAGCTTTGCCATACATCTCCTACAATATCCAAATCATTGATACCTCACTCACACCCAAAAAGCGAAAAAAAATCTCCCACACCTCCTCCTCATTCCAGTTCTTTCTGAGATGTTCTACCCTCACCTCCTCTCTCCCTCTTTCAAATTCACCTTTCTTCTCAAATTTCTCCTCCACGCTTCATTCTCCTCTTTTCTCCTTCCCCTGTGACGCCTTGAAACCATTGCAAGTGATTAGATACGTGTACACGCGAAGCAGTAATAGACCCATCGTACAAGACAGTTCAGTTCATGATTTATGAGCAAAGCTTTTCTCAAATATAAATTATAAATGATTTATTACTACAATAATATAATATATATATATATATATAATATATATATATATATATATATATATAGTATATATATATATATATATATATATATATATAAGTATAATATATATATAATATATATATATATAATATATTAGAAAAGGCGGTGTATCATTCAAATCCTCTAATTCCGGCGAGGGTTAGGTTCCGGCGAAAGCTCCGACGAAGCTTGAGAACGCACGCAGGCGAGCGGGGGCGTCGACGTCAAGGCGAAGTTGACATTTCGAAGTCTGCAGCCGCACCAGTTTCAGGTGGAGGCTTCGAGCAGGCCCGAGCTCGGAATTAATGGAAAACGCGACCCTCGCGTTTTTTGGATCGCGACCTTCGCGTTTGGGAAATCCGACCCCGGTTCAGACATCCGACCCTCGCGTTTGGGACACCGACCGCGCGTACAAGACTCTAACGTCCGCGTTTTGGCGGGTCCGACGTCCGCGTCTTTGCGCATGGCATGGGCGACAGGCTGTCGGCCAGCTGTCAATGGTTGCTTAATATAAACCCCTCGTGCCCCTAGGGTTTTGTTCTTGGTTCTCCTGCCTCTGATTTCTTACTGGCGCGGGCGGCACCCAAAAATAACGCAGAGTTCCTCTTTCCAAACCTTGAAATCGCCGCACAGGCGATTTTGTTCTCATCTCCACGCTTCAACGGCGTGCATTGAGGGGAGAATTATGAAAGGACTTAGAGAGAGGAGAGAATTGAAACGGTTAGTTCCTTTAATTATTAAAAACACTGTAGCTATAGTGTTTCATTTTTGAGAAATCTCAGTTTGGGATTTGCTCTTGATTTGTAATTTCTTGTTTGATTAATAAGAAGTTGACTGTGTGGCTCTCGAGGATCGTAGCAGTTACCGAACTCGTAAATCTTGTGTACTTTTTCTATTCTGCTTCTGTTCGGCATTAGGGATTTAGGCGTTAAATTCCACACAAGCTGGTATCAGAAGCGTGAAACGATCTAGAGGAAGTCAGATTCAAGTGGGAGCCCATGGCCGCCAGAGAAGGAAATACTGAGACTGAGAAATTTAATGCGAACAGATTTCGATAATCCTCGGAAAATGCAGATAGAGGATATATGTATCATAAAATCTGTATCGAAAACCACTATCCGGGAAGAAACCAGATTCTATGAAGGCGGATGAGTGGAACCTTCTAGATAGACAAGCCCTCGGAGTTATCAGATTGACGTTGACTCGTATTGTTGCGTTCAACATAGCGAAGGAGAAGACCACGGCGGGTCTTATGGAAGCACTCTCAAACATGTATGAGAAGACATCAGCCACGAACAAAGTTCATTTGATGCGGCGGTTATTCAATCTGAAAATGGCGGAAGGCGCGTCAGTAGCACAACACCTCAATGAACTTAATACGGTTACAACCCAATTGAGTTCAGTTGAGATTGAGTTTGATGAAGAAGTTCGGGCGTTGATATTGTTGTCTTCCCTACCAGAGAGTTGGAACGCTACAGTCACAGCTGTGAGTAGCTCGTCGGGAAACAATAAGTTGAAGTTCGACGACGTTCGTGATTTGGTTCTCAGTGAGGAGATCCGACGGAGAGAGACGGGTGAAGCTAAAACCTCTTCAGTATTGCATACAGAGTCAAGAGGCAGAAATTTAACCAGAGGAAACGGACGAGGAAAATCAAACTTCAGAGGTAGATCAAAGGACAGGAGCGTCCAAATCAAGGAAATCAAGCAACAGCTCGAAGGCTATCGATGTGTTGCGAATTATGGAAAAACCGGGGCATTACAAGATCATCAGCTGCCAAGAGCGTGCACAAAGAGAATAAGGTAGGCGAAGGCAGAGGTGAATGTCACTTCCACTTCAGGACTGGCAGACGAACGCATTGATATGCCTTTGGAGGAGCAAGGGAGGCGATCTTGCCCGGTGTTAGATTCAGAAGCGTCGTTCCATGCTACCTCTCTAGAAAGAATTCTTCAAGAAGTATTACCCCCTGCGAAATCTTTGGATACGTGTATCTCGGCCTGATGAATCAACCATGCTGCTATTTCTGTGCGGGCAAAGGTTGTAGTAAAATTAAGTTGAACGCCGGTCAGATATGGAGCTTGAAGCCGTGTCGCGCATATTCCCGACCTGAGAAAGAATTTAATATCCGTACGCGCAGTTGGCTGGTGAAGGATACACCACGACCTTCCATGGACGACTGATTGCGAAGATCTCAAACGGGCGCAATGAAAATTGCCGCGAGGCAAGAAGACTGGTACCCTGCTATATGACAGTAAGTGCCACGTTGTTTGATCTCCAGTTGCAGCACGGTAATGAGACTCCAAAGCTGTTGGCACCATAGGACTCGGTCATATGAGGAAAAGGGGCATGAAAATCATGCACACAAATGGCAAAAACTCCCAGGACTGCAGTCACTGAAGATGGATATGTGTTGAAAAGAATGCATACTATGGAAAGCAGAAGAGAGCTCAGCTTTCAGACACAGTGGCCCAGAACCCACCAGGAAAGAGAAGCTAAACGCTCGTTCACTCAGCATGGTGGTGGACCACAACCACCTGACGTCAATGTAGGTTGAAAACACTACTTCGCTGACTTTTAATCGATGATCACTCTCGGAAAGTGTGAGTTCTACTTTCTGCAAGCCATAAGCTCAGAAGTATTGAAGCTTTCAGCGAGATTAAGAAAACATGCGTCAGAGAATGAGACGGCTTGAGAATAAAGAAGCTCAGGACCGACAAGCTGGCCGCCGTGAATATGAAGACAACCGTAATTCCAAGAAGCTTCTGCTATGAAGCACGGGCATCAGAATGGAGAGAACCGGTGCCCGGCACGCACTCAGCAAATGGGTTGTAGCTGACGCGGCATGAACCGAACGTTGACAGGAGAGCAGCCAGAAGCATTCGAGTACAGCCAGGACCTACGAAGCAGTTCGTGCAGAAGCGGTCAACACAGCAGCTTACTTGATCAACGAGTCCATCGTTTCCATTGAAGCACAGAATACCAGAGGAGGATATGGTGCGGAAAGGGGTAAAAC